ATACTATATAATAATAATAATAATAATAATAATAATAATAATAATAATAATAATAATAATAATAATAATAATAATAATAATAATAATAATAATAATAATAATAATAATAATAATAATAATAATAATAATAATAATAATAATAATAATAATAATAATAATAATAATAATAATAATAATAATAATAATAATAATAATAATAATAATAATAATAATAATAGTAGTGGTAATGATAATGGTGATAATATGAATAATTATAGTAGTTGCATGACTGTAATGATATACTGCATAACGAATCCTTTGCCATATATTAATATCTTAACCAAGCATATTATCAGTTGCTATGACAGATATTAATGATGAACTGCGGAGGAAGAATGAAAGAAATGATAAAATCCTTGTGACACTTATCACTAATAGCTAAATTAATTAAACTCATCCAATAACTGTTCAACATATGATGCTATACAAGTGCAATTTATTCCAAATTTAATTTCAGATTCGTGATAGCGGTTATTTGAATGTACCAGCATACTGTACATCAAATCAATCAGCATATGCTCACTATTATGTGGATAATCCCAAAGTTCATGCCTATAATATTGCTCAGCCATCATGGTGGACTTGTCGTTGGGAAAGGTTTAATTTTTGGGCTGCTGGTTAGTTTCTCTCAAAAAATTTTCAACATTTAACCTTTTGACTTTTTTGTATTTCATTTTTATCATTTGATCTTTTTGTTAGGAACGGGACAATAGCATAAAGCTTTTAAAATCTAATCAATCCATTTGAATTATCATTATTGGTAAGAATATTTGATATGATTTAATGAATCGTATTTCTATCAAATATATACTAATATTATCGACTTACTATTATTGCTTGCAATTTTAATTAATTTATTCATAGATGCTAAAAATGTCAGTTGTGAATTTTGTCCAAGCAGCAATAAATTTAGCTGCATTAAAAAAAGAAAGAAGCCTGGTGCTATAGGCTACATTAAAAAAAAAAAGAAGCCTGGTGCTATAGGCTATGTAGAAATTGAACAGAGATTAAATTGTTTTGCTTGTAAACAAATTAAGAAAAGAAGGCTTTTGAGGCTCGAAACATCTCTCTAGCTAGGGTACATGGGAAGTCTATAGACTCATCTTTTATTGAATGAAAAAAAAAAGAAAAGAAAAAACAAGATAAAATGTTTTTTTCTTCCCATCCCAATTTTGAAATCGACCAATTTAACCGCAAGCTTGATTTAATGAAATTTATGGGAAAACAATAAGGAAGCCAAAGGACTAATAGTAAATGAGCAAAGGTAAAAGGTCAAAATGATAGCAATTTGTTTCCATTTCATTCTTTTACTTTTCTTTTTCCTCAAAGTTACAAATATGGAAATAACTAAAAAGGGGACAATTCATATTTTTCATTATTTAGTATTATATTGCATTAGATTAAGCATGTTATTAGTAAAAATTATAATGCATTTTAGGTTTGGTATTAAAATTGGTACCATGTTTAATGTTGACAATATTTATGACATTATTGGTACGTATGCTAATTGAAGCTCGTGAACGACGAACTCGCTTATGTCATGGTCAAACAGGTGGTAAATCTCAAGCGGAACGTACCACTACAATGTTAACAGCAATTGTTGCTGTCTTCTTGGTTACAGAATTACCACAAGGAATCCTTGTTTTTGCTATAGGTAAATTATTCATCTTGCTTAAAAACAATTAATTAACCTGGAATAGATAATTTGTGATAGGATAATTGTGAAAGAATTGACTTCAATATTTTGCGCTTAAACATCAAAATACTCAACTAACATTTTTTTTTTTTTTACTTCTTATAATTATTTTTAATCCTTGTTACCTGTCCAATTGCCCATTTGCAGGTTTAAAACCAGGTATTCGATACGCAATGCAATATCTTGGTGATTTTATTGATGTACTATCACTGATTAATAGCAGCTTCAATTTCTTATTATGTGCCTTAATGAGTAATGTATTTAGGCAAGTTTTCAAAACATTTTAATTTCAACATTTTTTTTTTCTCTAAAGCTCAAAATTAAACTTGTATTGTTGGAACTTTCAGTATTAAACACTAAATTAATTAAGTTTAAATTTGTTAATTTATAGACGAGAATTTTTGTTAACTTTTGGTTCATGCTGTCCAAAACTCAGTGAAAATATCAGCGGTGTTGGTTCAAGACCATTAACGATAGCAAATCGAATTACACAATCACAACAAAAGGAACTCATGGTTGTCGTCAAATGTCCCGATGAAATGAATGATAATAACAATACTTATTTATAAATTATATCGATGATCAATAAAATATTCAGCTATGTCTAAGAGGATTAATTGGCTTAATATTAAATATTAAACCATAACTTAAATACATATATTTCAAAATTTTGTCAAAATTTAATTAAAAGTTTGAAAAGAAATGAAGTGAAAAAAAATTTTGATAAGAAGGACAAGAAAAAAAATACTATATGTTGAAGAGATAAATTCAATTGAAATAAAATAAAGCTTGATTAGAGTACTCTTACAAGTTTCTGTAATCAGGCCTTATTATTCAGGCTCTAATGATTACAGGCCTCATAATTTCGAATAAAAATTAAATTGCTTCAAACAAAGAAAGCATCAGGCTAGAATTATTTATACATCATGCGTTTTCATACAGAAGAAACTTAATTAGACGTAGAAGAGAGAATGAAGTTTGTTAGCTGTCACCAAGGATGATGATCAGAATAACGGAAGGGATCAATCGATGCAAATATTTGCAAAGATGAAAACTCATTTTTTTAATTTTATATATATATAAAAAAAAAGCAGCAATTCGATCATTTAAAAAACAAATCTAAACTTTTAAAAGTTTTTTTTCTTTTTTTGCTGATAAAATCTTCATATCTCTATTCATCTTCATCTGATATGCATTCTAATTTTTTAAATTAAAGCCATATGACGTTGTCATTAAATTATCAGTTAAATACGATGCCTTTTCTATTGCAAAGAATGTCGATCTTCTAAGTTTGAAAATAAAATTGGATTTACTGATTTCAAAACAAAACCTTTAGCAGATTTTTGATCAATGTTATCTTAAATGTAAAAGAAAAAAAAAAGCAAAAAAATTTTGCTTAATGTTTGATCATCGAACTAGCAATAAATCACAACCTTATCATCTTATTTCAAAAGTTTTTCCAGTTTTTTGTCAAAGAAGAGTGCTTTCAGCCATTCTTTTCCCTGCTAGACTTATTATAAGAAGTGAACTTTTAAATTTGACCTATTAATGAATTTAATTTCTATTCCTTTAAAAAGGTGGAAATAAACCTGGATGCTTTACGGTATCATTTGCTAAAGACTTGTCCTCTACAATACCAGTACAAATTCTTTTGAAATTAATGCTAATCAGGAATCAAGCATAATTTAGCAGTTTCATCCTGACCAAGCATATCTATCAAATTTATCTGCTTTATCAACTTATCGATGATAGTTTATATGGCTATCATTGTTGTGACAGGATAACGAAGAATAAAGGTTCGATTCCGGAGAAGAAGCCTGAGAAATGATTATCAAATCCAAAAAAAGCAGCAGTCACGCAAATTACTTCATTCAAATTACCTCATTCAATGAGGAGGAAGTGATAAGAAAAGCGTTTTCTTTAATTACCGATTACTGGAATGGATTATGTTGGAAAAAAGAAAAAAAAGTTTTCGTTGTCACCATTGTTTTCGTTTGTCACGATACGGAGCAGAAATTCCACGTAACAGCGGATGGCGATGTTCCGTTTCGTCGAACATCTTATTTGCATTAAAATTTAACTTTTGCTTAAATTTCAAATTAGTTGCAGCTTTTCATATTTCTTATTATCTTCGAATTACAATTTAGCAGTGATACTGTACTGCTATCCACCAGAAGCCAAAATTGAAAAACTGAAAGGTGAATTAACAAGTGATCAAATGACAAAGTGACAAATGATCTCCGATCAAATCAAAATTAAAATTCATAAAATCTTTTTCGGATATCATAGAAACCAAAATACTTTACGGAAAAGGCATCGCTATTTCCGGCTAATTAATAAACAGAAAAAGAATGAAATTACTTCTGGTGATATGTTCGGAACCAAAAATCACTTTAATCTAACATCTTAATGGAAAGTAATCTTAATCATTTGTCCTCCCTGCATTAGTCGAAAAATTTTTTCAATAAAGGTTGTTAATATACGCAAACAAAAAAAAAGTTGCGGTATCCATTGTTGTTACTTAGACTTAAACTTGGATGTCCATTGTTACCATCAGAAACCTTTTACTTATGGTACACCTCTGATAACTCTTCATAAAGTCACATTAATACAGTGTTTAACAGAATCTTCTTCGAACATCATAGAAACAAAACACTTTACGAAAATTCATTCAGGATAGACAAGAAACTTTAGCTTGGTTTTGCTCTTAATGTTTACAAGCTTATTTGTGCTATCACGATAAACGACAAATACCGCATCTACTTATGTGACATGTTTCCCTTTCAATTTGAGAGATGAATTATGCCGCCATGGTGAAGGTGTAATCTCTTCTTCATTTCAGTCTTCAAGAATCTCATTTAAATGCTTAGACTTAGGCGAGTCTATTCATACGATGAATGTTTCGGTAAGCAAACTATATTTGAGATACATGAAAATTCAATTTATGAAGGTCAACAAGAAGCGAAGCAAACAGTATAACAGAAAATAAAGCAGGAATGTCAAAACAATTTCCGGATCAAAGTGAAGCAAACAGTATAGCAGAATATAAAACACGAATGTCAAAACAATTTCCGGATCATGTGTTCCAGAATCTTTTGAAGATTTTGCAGGAGAAGAAATCACAGTATCGAGATAATGATAATATATGAGTTTTACGTAAGAATACAACAAGTAAGAGTTATTGTTAATGTAATGTTAATATATGGGATGTTGTAAAGCACGTTCTGTATCATCAGTCTTCTTAGATTCAGAGGTCATGAAAGTTGGTGGCATAAAACGGCACAATTCTTTTCATGTTAATGCTATTTGACAAAGTAATTAGCTAACGTAACAGTTGTAGTTGATGAAGTAACTAACTTTTGATGCAGCTGTATTGGAAAAAGTTAAGAGTTATCATATATCAAAGTTGTCATTTGGAAAAAGTTATCATGTATCAAAAGTTCGTAAGTTTTGAATTTAACACTATATCTCACCTTGATAGGTAGATGTTCTTTTTTCATATAACCATGAGATATCCTTTAACAAAAGAATTTTATAAAAATGTATAGAATTACGAATGTATTCGTGATTGAGAGGTTATCAAAAGATGTTGGTGTCAAAGGAAAGTACAAGATAGATCTTATTTGATCTGAGAAATTTCTTCTTGATCATTTCCCGGCACCTGGATTACTTGATCATTTCCCGGCATCTGGATTATTATATGAGGATAGATACAGTGACAATATTGTACTGTCATTTCAGTTCATCTAATACAATCACAACTTCATCTCAATTCTTTCAGCCTTCTATCTTCCCTCTTCCATACTCACACCCTGAAGTCTACATTTGACAATTAGCAGGGTGAACAATTAGCAGATGTATCAATTTGAATATGTCGAGTGGATATTTGATTTTAATGAAGTATGATAGAGGACACAGGAAGTGACTAATAAAATGAGAAAAAACGCCATATCTTGCCCATGGAGTTTAACGGACTTTTCAATTCTTTTCTTTCAATTTGAAAATTTGATGTGAAGAGCTTACCACATTTATTCTCAATCCCCCCAACATTATGGATATCCTCAGGTGAATTGAAAGGTATGAGAGAAGATCAGTCGTTCCATTTTTATTTGTTAATGTTTATCACAACATTTTTTAATTACTATAACCTAGTATCAGCACATTTTCTGTAGATCCCAATTCTGTCATGCCTGCGCGGGTTCTTTTAATCTTTTTTTTTTATTTTTTGTAATTGCTTTTGTTCACTAATTTAAATTACAAAGGTTTTTCCGTGAGATGACATCGACGATTTTCTTCAACCGTGACAAACATTGTACAAATACAAAGTTGAATATTATAAAGTTAATTTGGATGACACCCTGCAGTTACCAATAATTATTTCTCAACCATTCTCTATTCTCAACAAATATACTTGTACGAATCGTTTTTCGTTAAAACATATAAGCCGTGCATCGTCTTTCATCAAACATCCATTGTCCATTGTCCACTGTCCATTTCTGATTCGAAGTATTGAGGACGCTTGATTGGACTGATTGGACCTATAGCCATAAAAGTGAAAAAAAGAAAAAAAACATTTCTAGCGCTTATGAATAAGAAAAAAAAAAGAAAAGAAAGAGAAAAGCGAAAAAAAAGGAGAAATGAGAATGGAAACTTGAAAAGAATGTATTAGAAGATTACAGCAGAAGAATACATCCTTTGATATTTTCGTTAGATTAGATATTTCAGGTTTCAAATTTTGATCAGATGTTTTAGATTTCAAATTCAGATCAGATATTTTGAAATGCTTTCAAGTAACGGGAAATATTCTTCTGTTAATTCCAATTTCTATGAAAACACGTTTACGACAGTATTATTTTCTGCATAAATTATCTGGACAATTTCTATTTTACAATGCATGCTATTCAGTACAAAAGAAACAATTAAGATTAATTTCAATTTTTGTGAATGCAATATTTCTTTTTTTTGATTTTTAACTAAAATTATATTTAACATAAAAGGCCCATCTTTTCGTTCAGAATTCACAATCACAACCAGCTTGTCTGTTGTCACAAACCTGTCCTCTCAAATTCGTTTCTATAAATTCTTCTACTCATTTTATAGTTTTAACTATTCATCATAGCTAAAACACGAAATAATTACAGAATTTATTTTGAGTGTTTCACACTGAACCACAATAAATTTAGGTCTAACTCTTACATATATTACCTAACAATCATTTACTGTTACTCATCAAAAAAAACATGCAATAAACTGGCCAAGTAAAAGAAAAACTTGTTTTATGAAAGAATAATTCATGAAAAATCGCATATTTTAGTAAGCAGATTTATTACAAATCCAAAATGATTGGATCCATTTAGTTAAACTTCTAAGAAATCGAAATTCCTTGTTAACAGTAAAATAATTCCACAAAGTCGTACAAATTATCGAAATCATCGAATATATTTGTAATTTACAGCTTAGATTTTAAATCCCTTGTTGTCCTTATATTCGTTATGAACCAGTGTCGTATCAGTTAATACTTCTTCAGCTACAGGTAGACTTTTTGAATTTTTGAATTTTAACTTTAAATGAAATGTTTTTAAGTTATATTTCAGTCGATGTGATACTTATCCATAATCAGGGAACTGAAATGAATTTCACTGCATGATGCATTTGCTGCTTAAATATCTGAAAGACAAGAAGCTCAATAAAAATTTAATTAAAATTCAGGAGAAATAGATGACCGAATATACAACAAAGTTGAAATTCAGTATCTCAACAGTCTATCAGAGAAAGGCTACTTACTCATTCGACAAAGATTTAAAAAATATGGCGTTAGCAATTTTCTTTTATTTATATATTATTACATTATTTATTACATTATATTAATTATTATTACTTATTATTATTATATTAATTATTATTTATTACATTATATTAATTATTATTTATTATTATTACATTATATTAATTATTATTTAGTTATATATTATTACATCACAAATATTCTTTAAAGTCGAAATCATATCTGCCAAATTCCTCAATTCTACTACTAATTATTAAAGGAGATAGGATAAATTGCAATTAATTTATGAATTCCAGTGCATTGATTGGTAGTAATAATAGTAGAATATTCGTTTATATCATCTTACAGGGAAATCCCTGCAATATGTGAATGTGCAAACTACGAGCTGAACCGTCGATCAAGAATACTGCATTACCACGATGGCAAAATAAACCCTGGATATTTAAAAGAAGCTTTGGAACATGCATCTCAGATGAATTTCACAAATGTTGACGTCCACCCTTTGTTGCTGTTAACAATAATAGTTCACCAAAAATCCGAATAAATTTATAAGAAACGAAGATTTAGTGATGTAGCTGATGTAAATTTAAACTTTAGCACGAAAAAACTATACAAAACACTACTGGTTACCAGTTCAAGCTATTTTGTTCGGTGGTGAAAAGGCGCTTAATATAACTTGTGTAGTGGTACCTTGTCATTTGGTGACAGTTACGTTTCAAGATCATCTAAAAATAATTCAAGGAATGGGATATGGTAGGAAATTGTAGTTTGAATTTTTGCACAGAATTTTTAATTAATTAAAGAATGACATGTAATTACTACTAAACAAATAAAATAGTTTGTATTGTGCGATTTCAGCTCATTTCCAATTTATTCTTGATGGAATAAAAGGAAGTCCAATGAATGGAATGATTATCCCGCATAATCAACCTTTACAAATTTGTGTAGAAATGCAGCCAATAAAAAACATTCTGTTGGTCATTCTTTATATTCACAGAAGCAAACCTTTGAAATATTTCAATCGTCCAAGTTATATTAAAATTATGTTAAAGCCAAAATCAATATTGAAATTTAGCTTTTGAAATAATTAAAGGAGTAATTTCTGTCCCAAACATTGCATTATTAATTTAAATTTTTTTGGAATATTACTTTGAAATGGTCATCATACTTGAATAACAATGATATCTCTCTCTGTCTATAAGCAGTAAGCAGAAAAGATAATAGCGTAAACAATTTAATTAAGAAATGTAATTAGAGTATATTTTTAGGAAATTGATGCAAGATTCTATTGAATATTCAATGGATACAGTTTTTATGGTCATGTTTGTCATTAATTTGTAACCAAAATTTCAGTGCATAGAAAAAGGATTCTATGTCAAATATACACGAACTGCAAAAATCAGGAGTGAGTTAATTAAAATTCAATACATCAGTATGTGGCATCCCAAAGTATTATGTTTACAACGAAATGAATTCTGCATAGGATTTCAGTACGAGAGCTTTTCACTAGATATGAATTCTTCGGAGCCTAATAGGACAACCATGATTTTTAGTATCCACTGAAGTTGACCATTGTGATTAGTACCGATGACAATGTGACTCAAGAACGCGTTGAAAGTCGAGCATTGAGTGCCGTCCAAATTATCAGGGAGGATTTGAATAGCGCTCCAATTTGTATTGTTACTCAACGGATACTCGGAATAATGGGTAAGTCAGATCTAATAGTTTCTTGGCTGCACGATTAGTCTAAAGTGTAAAGATACTAGGACGAGGTGTGGCTATGATTACGCCAATATTCATCCAATGTTTGATAAAATCCTAATGTTTGACAAATCCCAAACATTAAATATTTTTAAAGGCGCTTCAACAAAGATTTCCGCAGAAAAAATTTGGAGTTGGATAGCTACGGCTTGGCATTAATGTTCTATGGTCATGACGTAAACGCATCGACCCTCCTTGTAGACCAAGAAGATAATAATGAAACGTTGAAAACCAAATTTGAACACTGGAAGGTTTGACGTCTTTATTTGCTTCAGTTCAATCTTAATCGTTATTGTAAAGTCATTTTCATGTTAACACTTATATTCCAAAATTATATTTTTCTTATACTTAGTATATTCTTTAATTCTTCTGATTGTATAAATTATCTTTCAGCAAAGGAATTGCT